ATGATCTCATGAAGCTCAGGTTATAAAAACAACAAACAGAGGAAACTTTAATGATACTGATGTTATTGACTTCTCTGATCTCTGGCTACTTGAATTTTCTCGCACGTGTTTCCAAAAGTCTGGTAGCTGGGGATCGGCCCGCCAGGGTCTCCGCTCCGCCGCCCGGCACACAGTGCACCCGCCCCCCATGGTGCCTCCTGCAGGAGAATGGGCCCGTGTCCCCTTTTTGGGCTGCTTTTCGGTCTGGTTACTACCGTTTATGTCAGAACCGGTGCCATCATGGCACGAGATGCTGGAGAGATTATCTCTCAGCCTGGGAACACCTTGGTCCTTCAGACGGAGGCTTCTCTGCTTGGGCTGTTGGCCCCATAGATAAGCAGAAGAAGATGGATGGTGTTTCCAAAAGCAGGTTCTGTGGATCCGTCTGCTGTGATCCTTCAGAAACAAGCTGAAAGTTGGAAATGTAACTTTTTTGTTTACACAACACGAGCGTCTATCCCAAACAGCTGATTCTGTTCATGTGGACGAAGGTTTCATCCACTTCACTCAGAGCATCTTGTTTGGGTTTGTTGGAGGAAGAAATATTTGTCAGTTAAGCCTGAATTTTATTGTTAACCTCAAAGAAAGACGGACAGAAAATTCAAGTTGCTTGTGTCAGTCTTAGTCAACAACAGTCCCAAAGCTGACGACATCTCCAGAGGCTTTAAATCACGCCTGCAGCAGTTTCTAATCTGCACTCACATAAAACACACCCCTTACTCATTCACTGATAAATATCGTGACTAAAATGTAAAACAAAAAGCCAAATGACCTTCATCTTGATTTGGTGAGTGATACATTGCAGGCTGGAGATCTCGTAGGGCATTTCAGCTGACAGGTCCAAGGTGAACTCTCTGAGAGAAAAGGAACAGTGATGGAAACCAAACCAAAAACATGACACGACATAATAATGCTGCAAAGCTGTTGTTCAGTTGTTAACAGTTTGGATGAGCAGACGAGGTTCACGCTGACGGGTTAACAGAAATGCTTCGTTTCGCTCACCTGACACTTGCAGCTTCATCGGTCACACACACCTTCTCCACAGTGACCTGTGGAGTGACGTTTAAAGTCATATTTCTGATCAAAGCAAACTGATCCAATCACGAGCTGAACAGGATCTGTTACCTGTGTGGTCTGGTTGAGGGCTGCGCTCTCCTGCCACGGAGCCACGCTGCCGGGCAGGGAGAAGAGAAGCGTGCCGTCCCGGACAATCAGCTCGGAGACGAAGGTCACTTTGATGAGGACGGTTGCACCAGGGGGCAGGTTACCCACACTGATGGTGAACACATCCTGCAGTGAGGATAAAGACCATGTCACAACCAGTGGCGGCTAAAAGGGCCTACATGTGTGTGTGTGTGTGTGTTTAGACGTACAGGTGCATCCTGGTCCATGAGGTAAGCTCCATGTCCTTGCTCAATAGCCTGTTTGTACTCCTTGCGAGCTTTTTCTTTCTCCTTCACCTGAGAAACAAACATCCATCGGTTTGCTCACGTTGTGTTGAACAGCATAACACCAAGATAG